TGGATTTGTCAAAATATGTAAGGCCCCCAAAATGATATCATCATTTGTTGGTTTTGAAAAGTTGTCTTCATCTTCTTTGCTTGTCATTTTTCTTCTATTTAAAGATTAAACAGGAGAATTTTAATGTTTTAGGTTTTTCAAAATAAATAAAATCAGCAAAGTCTCTTTGTCTGATGTATTTACTTTTATTTAGTGATTTATCAATTAAACGTGCACTATCCTTTTAGCAAATGAGTAAACTTTTTCCAACTTTGTGAAAATCTGTAACTGTTTCTATTTTTAAAAAGTTAATGTTTATTTTTGTACCTTAGTTTTAAGGGATTACCAGTGAAATAAAACTGTTTTGGTGAATGCTCTTTGCATAACACCTTATAACTTTTAAAATGCAAGATAACAGTAATTTTCAGCTTTAAGGAACGTTTATTAACTCGAAAAATGCCTTTTAGAAAAATTAAAACGTTTAATTTCACTATTTAGACCTAATAAGCGAGTGAAACCTGTCTTCTCAAGGTTGTCCAGAAGATGTCAGCCTTACCTTACTAATCTTAACTCAGACACTGTTTGTGTTATCCACTAGGGGAGCTATAACTTCCTGTGGCGTTCGGTTGACATCCTGTTGTTAGCCGCTTAGCTTGAAGTTAGCTTCGGCTAAACTCGGTTAAAATCAACATTTCTGAACGGATTTTACTTCCTGTGGCGTTCGGTTGACATCCTGTTGTTAGCCGCTTAGCTTGAAGTTAGCTTCGGCTAAACTCGGTTAAAATCAACATTTCTGAACGGATTTTTTACACAAACGTGGCAAAATTTCAACAAACACGACTTCTTAGCCTGAACATGAGTTTTTGGAACAATATTGCAGCTTCATTTAGTGATTTTAGGCGTAGTTAAAACTCCGGTCGTTAGCTGTTTAGCTTAAAATTAGCATCGCTAGTGTTGTTTGAAAACATCATTTTATGATGAATTTTAAGCTCTAACGTGGCAAAATTTCAGCGAATATGCTTCGAAGCTTTTAACCAGCGTGTTTAGAATCACTTTAGAGGCGTTTTTCAGCTTTAAAAAGCAGATTTTATTTCCCTATGAAAACAAATTTTCATTTCCGGGTCACGTGACTGAAATCACCAATGGCAAAGCAGCGCAGGGTGAGAGGAAGTGACGTAGCCACGCCAGTCAGCCTTCTCAACCAATCAGAGCGCTCCACAACAGCGAATTTCAACCAATCACGAAGCGTTCTCTCCAACTAGCAAGTTAGATTAGCGTGAAATAGTTCGTCAACTTTTCGTCTTTTAAACTGTCAAAATGCACTTTTTCTGTTAAAAATTGTAACGAATCAACTCCTAACTGTGTTCTGAGATGGCACTCAGCTTTTAAAACGTTTATCCATCTATTCAAAATACTCGTTCGAACTGAACAGAACCGAACTGGTCCACAGCCGGGTCTTAAAGCAGAACCTCGTACTTTTAGACAGAATAACGTCTTCCACAGCTCATCAGCTCTTAGTTACACGTAACAGACGTACAAATTCAGCTTTCATAAAGACTCAATGACACAATTTCAGCTTTTAAAACATTACTAGCCCAACGCTTAGAACATGCAGCGTTTGCTTGAAAGGCGCAGCTCCGAGCGCGCAGCTCCGGCTGCGTTTCAATCACAGCTGATAAACCGTTACTTTTTCAACATGCCAACATTTAAAAAATCAATCTTACACGTATCAACAGTCATTTATGAGGCGTGCGGGCCACCAGTTTGTAGTGAGTCACGTGGGTACGTGTCACTTGTTGTAGTATGACAAATATATGAAATATATATGCATACAATATTCACGAGTTCTTCATCTTTCTGACTGTGTAATGCCGTGCATTGAATTTAACAGAAATGCGAACGAGAGACGTTATTACCTTTGACCCATCAAAATGAATGGAGTCATTTATTTTCAGAATCAAAGTTTAACATCAAACATTTACATTAATTTGGCAAAATATGAAAATAATAACAGACAGTTTCACAAATAATGAACTTCAAATCACTCGGCAGTGATTTGAGGACTTTGCTTCAGATATTTCTAAAATATCTGTACTAGTTTTGTGAGAGAGAGAAGAGTTTAAGATGAAATGGAGATTATCTTACAGAGAACTATGTGAGAGAATTAATATCTGTTGACCAGAACGTGCACGCTTCATCAGATTTCAGCTCGCCTCCGGTACACTTTAGTCGAAGAAGAGACCGTTACCTTGTTGATGATAGATCAGCTCGATAGAGAGTCCTCCAGACCTTTCAGCGTCTCCGTTGAGAGCTGCTGAAATCCTTAGATAGTCGTGCGTGGGTTGTTCAAACAGAAGTTATAATTCCAACGTCTCTGACTCTTCTGAATTCTCGAATTCTCTTCCATTCACTTCACCATTCTCCATGAATTCTAACCAATTCTCTTCAGAACTCCTTGAGCACTGCTTCAGAACTGCTTCCGAACTACATGAGAACCGCTCCAGAACTTCAGAACTAACTTGAACTGGAAAGTTGCCACATTTTAAATGGGTCGACTTCCGGTTCAATTTAGAGCTTCCTGATTCGTGGATGTACCAGAAAGAGGTGTGGTTTTTGACGTAAGGTATTATCAAAAGTCGAGGTCAGGGAATGAGATTTGTTTAACAACTGACAGAGAGATTATTGCAAAAAGCAGACTTCGTGGAGTCTCTATTCTGATTATCTTCTCAAATAGTTAAACATGACATTTCTTCTTCAGTAAACATTTAGTTGACCGAAGCTTCAACTTTCACATACTTACGACTTGGCTCATTTCAGACAGAAAATCAAGAAATGCATATTCAGGTGATTTCTTCTTTGAATGAGGAATAAAAATCATTACTTACTGTTTATGTAAAATAAAAATGAGTAGTTCTTTTCAACCTGTAAGCATTGAGTGAAACTAACACAATTTGATTATCAAAACATTTGTAAGACAGTAATGATTATAAAGAATTGTCTTTTCTGCTTGATTAATTCAAGAAAGAAAGTCATCAGATGGCTCAGACTTATTCAGATCAATGAAAATAACAGTCTCTGTCCATCTGGTAGATTTGAGGTCATCAGGGTCAGATAAGGGTCAGATCATCAGGTCATCAGGTTCACTACAGGCCTATAAGTCGCCGAGCATGTAAATTATGCAAAAATACTGCGACTTATAGGCCAAAAAATACGGTAGTTTGAACCATCTGCTAGTTTCTCCAATTGCTGCACTATCATGGGTTTACTATCCCTTTGAATGGATTTCATGAGTATAATTTGTGCTTTAGAATAAACCAAAGCAGCTCCACTTCCTTTCACAGAAATGCCTGCCAGTGTTTTAATTAGGGAATGGAGCTGGCTGGCCATCACAGAGCAAGAGAGAGTGGGCCTGATCCAGAGACCGCCCTGCTCTCTGCAGTTTCATCTAGCTGCCAGACCCAGCTGTTCCTCTGCAGCACTATGTCATCATGGGACAGCCAACATACAACAGGGTGTGTCTGTGTATGAACTGCAAACATAGTGGATTGGTAGACCCCTATGTGTTCTTATGTCCATTGTTTTAAAAGATTCAAAGATTAAATATTTCATGTCAGTCTTGATGGTGTTTCACTTTTGTCTCTACAAAAAGAAGTACTGGTACAACTTATTTTGGATCAGGGTATAATAGAAAAACTTTTTGTTCATGATTTTTACTCCCTTAGATAAACAACAGGACATGTCATTGTTTATTTAAGTAAACATCCAAAACACAGACAAACTGAACATAATACAGAAACCTAAATGTAAGTAACTGTCTTGTGTTGACATTTTGAGGGTTTGTGAATCATCACTGTGGATTCATTTTGGCCCACTCTTTGTTTTTACAATGTTACTTCAGTTCATTGAGGTTTGCAGGAATTCATGTTTGCACATCTTTCTTGAGGTCCTGCCACAACATTTGAACCAGGGTTTACATTTGAACTTCAGAACATTGAATCATTTTGATTTCTTTTCAGTCTTTTTATTGTATATTTTCTGCTGTGGTTGCATCCATTGTAAATGGACCGTACTGCACATGTATAGCGCCTTTCTATCTAATCAAGATACTCAAAGTGCTCTACAATACACTCTGTGCCCTCATGTACCTCTACACACACATTCATACAGCACTCTATAGATTTCAACTAAGCTAATCTGAATAAATCAGAGCTTTATCACATTCATATATTGATGGGACACACATCAGAGGCAGTGAGGGGCTCAGTGTCTTGTCCAGGGACACTTCAACATGTGACTGCTGGTGGAATCGAACCCCCAACTCTCCCATTGGAGGACAACTGCTCTAACCACTCAACCACAGCTGCTCATTGTCCTGTGTACTGGCTCGGTTTGGTACACCATCAGCTTTCAGACAGATGGCGTTGCACTGGACTATAGACTCCTTTGGTCCACAGAGGAGTTCATGGTCGATGCAATGACTGAGAGGTGCACAGGTCCAGAACAAACGCAAATCGTCACAGTTCCACCTACGTGCCTGGCAGTTTGTATGAGATGTTTGTGGTGCTCACACACAGCTTTTACAGTTTAGCTTTATTTCAGTTTGATAAACAATTGTGTAGTGAGATCTGTGTGGACACTTGAGGTTAAATTAGAGTAATTTTCTAACCTGATAAAGACCAGGTTGATGGTGTTGTGCCCTGATATGTGGAACCTCAGAACTGAAGAAGGGTGGACTTTATTTTTCCCATGACTGTAACTCTTTATAAGGACCAGTAAGGACATGTTGATATTTTATTATGCTTTAATCTGTAAAACTTTGTATCTGAAAGAGGGTGCACTTCTTTTTACCATCATTTTGGATTGCATGCCAGCACACTGAGTCTGTTGCTCATGTACTACATTAACCGGGTACTTACAGGCTTTGTTATGTATTGTTATCAATCTGATTTATCTCCAAGCGACAACCAATCTTCCCATTTTATTAATTTTTAATGGAATGTTATTTTGTTCTGTATTTGCAGGCAGAGGAGGCCTATCCAGTAGATCAGGAGAATCAGGGGAACACCCTTGTTTCCGAAGCCCCTCTGAATCCCCCTCCTGAAACCCAGGAGAAACCTAATGTTAACGGAGAGTCCCCCGAGGCAGACAAGACTCCGACTCCTCCCCCCACCAACGGCCACTCCACTGCCAAGACAGCAGACACGGAGCTGTAAGAGCCCTACATCCACCATAGCCTCACTAACCCATTTATTTACATACACACACATACATATTTACATTTTCCACTCATTCCTGCTTGGCTACAGAGACCAGGGTAAAGAAGACAGAGGATGAAAACAATCTTACATCAGCAGCCATTTGTTACAATCCTGTTCCCCTTGGGCTGCATGCCTCGACAAACCTCAGGGAAACTAGACCTGATGATGATGATGAAGGCTGCTGGGTTGTTGACAGCAGTCAGGCTGAGATCAGCGAGCAGAGACTTGCAGTTTTGGGTGTGAAAAGGGTGTTTCTGTTTTTTTTTCTCTCTCATATAAACTCAATTAGCATTCAATTCCTGTGATAACTGCAGTCAAATCCAGCTAAGTCTCCACACCTCACCTCGTTTAAAACTTCAACCAAACCCTCTACTAATACCACATAACCACAAGATAACCTTTTGTGTTTTATCTGTAAAGCCATGCAGATAGAGGAAATAAATCCCGCTGCCTTGAGATCTGATTGCGTGTTTGTCAAAGAGAAACCAAACTGGGATCTCATCTTGTCAGACGTAGCGTGTTAACATTTACTCACATCTCTGGTGTGTATAAACTGTATATATCAGGACTTGCATTTAAGCTTCTTTTGCATAATGTACTGTAAGTCTGAGTACTTGATAAAAGTGAAAGATATCCATCTAAATGTTTGAAAGAGGCGTGTGAATGTGCTTGTGACAAAAGCCATGAGAACTGTAGTTTTGTAAAATGAGTGGAGCTGCAGTGAAATGGGACATTTTACACATGCTGTTCTCTTTGGGTTTGAACAAACTACAACCGAAGTTTACTCTGTTAGACCAACAGGTGATGACTGTCAGCTCGGCCCCGTCAGTCAGTCCGACTCTCATTTAAATGTACTGTACAGTTGTGTTTTATCCTGTGTAGCTTCACTTGTGCTATATATTTCATATTGTACCTAAATATGTATTTGTAACAACCTTGCAGTATTTGCTGTAGACCAAAAACAAACAAATGTACTCGAGATTTTGACGATTCTGATATATTTTTGAATATAATCCTTGTTTTATTGTTTTAATCTGTTGACAGGCTTGATATTAAGAGTTTTTTAGATATCTGAAGCAGAAAAAGGAAACAGGAAATGGTGCATTGATGTCTCTTTGTGATACATTTAGTATTTTTCTGACACAATCTCTCAGAAGAATATGTGACTTTTGTTTTGTGCACAAAACATCCCAAATCCCCACAAACTACTGTAACTGATAGAAATTGACACCAATTCAAGGTAACTCCTTTATAAAACATTTTTTAAATTTTACAATCACAATAAATGTGTGTCACATCACTATACTCTGCATTATCAGAGAGGATAAAATCAGATTAAAGTTGCATGTTTACATTTGTGTTTGGAAGTTGTGGATCGCCTGTGCTTTGTGCATTGCAGAACTGTCACAAAAGTGTCATACAACTTTAACTTGTTCAAAAATGTTATCAAAAATGAAGAAATTAAACAATGCATGAGTTGTAGTTTGGGTAAAACAGCTCATAAACAGACTTAGAGTTTGGTTGTTCAAGAACATTTTAAAATATAATCTAATAAATTGTCCATCTTTATTGTGATGCTGCAACTTTTTGGACACAATGAAAAATGTTCTTCTTGATCTGCTCTGTCTTTTTTTTACATTTTCATTACATCATGAATGTTTAATTTTACCCACCTTTAACATAAAAAAACAAGAAATAAATACCTTCCTATAAAACTCTCAGGTTTTTGTCTCCATTGAATCAGTTATCATTGTATGAATGGAAAAAAGACGTGTTTGACCTGCACGAGTACATTTTATTCCCTACACATGTTTCTGCATCCATGCTGATTCACAATCATACATCTGTTTTCTGTCAAATGAGAAAAATAATTCCCATAAAGTCCATAAAGCCACACATCTGCTTTACATCAGCAGTATTAATGACATCACTTTACTCCGTTTTTGTTTTTCCCTTTTGGGTGTGGCAAGAAAAACATTTCCTCTTATGTTTTTTTTTCTCTCTTAAATGGAGAACTCATTATTTTGTTAACACACCTCTTATTTATTTATTATATATATATATATATATATATATATATATATATATATATTTAACATATCTGCACTGTATGTCGCTTTAGGTTGACGTAACTACCAGTAATCTTTTTCCAGTTTATTAACATCATTTTCTCAATAATGAGACAAAGCTCCAGGTCGGTTTCTACTTGTGGGTGCTCCTTTCAGCATCCTGTAAAGAAAATGTTCCTTCGAGGCCATTCAGCATTTGTTGTTGTTTAAAAAGCAGCATGTGACACAGGAAGTACATTCATGAATAGAATCTGAGGCAGCAGATGCTGCGTGTTGCAGATTTAAAAGGTGTACCTCAGTAGATGTGAAGGTTCCTGAATACACTCACACCTAAACCAGTTTCACTCCTTGTCTCGACCAATTAGGGCATATGTGTCAAACTCAAGGCCTGGGGGCCAAATGTGGCCCTCGTTGACATTTTATCTGGCCCCAAGATGATATGTGAAATGTAAAATACTTCTATCTCTTGAATATTTTCAATAATCTTTTATTATGATGTCGAAAGCACAACAGAGGACATCAAATGAGACCAATCAAACTCTTGTTGAGGAATTTGTGACCAAGAAAATATGTTGGGTATCTGACTTGAGTTAATGTAGTTTCTGAAGTTGGCCCTTAGTTTGAAAAAGGTTTTAATTTTGGCCGACTTTTTTAAGTGAGTTTGACACCCCTGACTTAGGGTGCATTCACACCAGCCCTGTTTAGTCCGCTTTAATTGAACTATAATCCGTTTGCCTAGAAAGTCCGGTTCATTTGGGGAGGTGGGAATGTTCAATCAAATTCTGATGTGGACCAAAACTGTGAACTCTGGTCCACCTAAATACCTGGGTCTCAGTTCCATGGAAGTGAACTCTGGCGCGGGTCAAATGCAGTGTGAATGCAATCAGCCAGAGACCGCTCCAAAAGCAAGAAGTGGACTTCAGCGCACGGCATTCTGGGTAAATACAACCAAAGCAAACACACATTTCTCATACCTCATATGGAGCGGTCTCAGCCGCCTTGTGTGAAAAACAACATTCTCCATGGTCTTCCGCTTCATCTTCTGAGTCCATTGTTGAAAAATGGCAAAACAGAAATCCTAAAAACAATATAATTTGACGCCACTCCATTTTTGTTTTTGTTTTCGGAAGAAGAAGATAGTGATGGTAGTATGAAACAAAAGCTTTAAAACATGCTTCGAACCCTGCAGTAAAATTACATCGAACCACTGCTTCAGAGCCTGTTTTGGTGCAGAAAAAGTCACGTGACGTCCGAAACACAAACTGTTTCGTTGTCAGAATGAATCTCTTGACTGGTGCGCGATCCAAACAGCTGATTCCCTGGCACCGCCTCGTCTCGATTCTGACAGGTGACAGGTTGAGACAGTTTTGAATTGAGAGCTCAACACTATGAAACAGCTCTAAAATGTTTGTAGTGTGTTGGAGAGTAGGTGTGTTGTTGCTGTTGTTAGTTGAAATTGAGTAATTATGGAGCCAGCCAGGAAAAGAGGTTGTTCTAACATGTGGGAACACTTCATTCTGCTCATGATAAGGTGGTTTTGGAATTTAATGTCAAAAAAGTTATAGTAATGTTCAGCAGTGAAGCTATTATCTAACCCATTTAACCCATGTGTTTAATATAATTACAGTAAAATGATATATGTGATTTTAAAAATCATATGTCAGTATGGGCTCGAATTAATTTTTTTATTTACATTAGTGTATGTCTACAGGTGCAGTGTTTGGTGCGTTCAACTGAACTGAAGCATCTTGATACCTCCTCTATGATTAGACACTTCAACGCCAAACATGGAGATGCTGGAGACGTCATTTCATTGTTATTTTTAAGAATGATAAAGACTCGGACTCTGTCACAGTTACACAAGCACAATACCATTGCAACATTTTTATTAAATCTCTTCAATGCACATTTATCAATCTTTATTCAAAACATGTAAGCATTTATGTATGTGAATGTTCCTGTAAAGTGCCCTGAGACATCTTCATTTTTAATCAGGTCTCTCTTGTAAATGAGTCCTCGCGGCTCAATGGGATTTACCTGTCTAAATAAAGGTTGAATTAATGCAAACAAATGTATTTTCATAATAGTAAGTAGCCATGTAGACAGCAGCCTCTTGGCCTCAGTTTTCAGATTTGAACGAGTGATTTTTTCGAGTATAAATGTTATGCAGTTTGTAACGTTAAAAAAGGCCTTTTCAAGGTCTTTTAAAAATCAAGCTTATAGTGAAACTTGTGTCTGCGAAACCTACAGAAACTGTGAATAACTTGGAGTGCAACCCAATTTATGGCCTAAAAATGTTACTTTTTTATTGTAAGATTTAATTTGAGCAGCAAACACGACTTATTTTTCATCTCAAAAGAAGATAATTTTTCAATGGAGAATCTGTGGTGATACGAGAATGAAAGTCTTATTTGTCATTACTGTACTTTGTTCAACCTTGCCTTTAATGCCTCTGTCCAGTAACCCCTGTTCCCCTGCAGAACATCAACTAAAATGTCTTCTTACACTTTTTTCAGCGTCCCAAAGCCCCAATCTGCTCCAACACACCACCCCTCCATCCTTCATTCTAACCAGACCCCAGTTCCCCCAAACATCCACTCCTCCATCTAGCCAAAATAAGTGGATGGGAAGTGGAATGTGGGCTCGTGAACAAAACTCAGCTGGCTGTTTTGATGGTGGGGAGTCTCCCTGGTCAGTGCAGCCACTGCTGCCAAATACGTCATCTTCTACCTCTTTATGCCAAACCCGTCCCCCACCCACCCCCTCATTCCAAGCTCATAGATGGAAGATAATACAGAATGAACTGAGCAATAAAGGAGAGCACCCAAGAGACCAACTGAGGCACTAAGGTCAAGAAAGAGGTGCGGTCTGTATTTAATACAAAGGTAAACACTGAGGAATGTTCAGGTTCATGGTGAGTATATGGGGACACTACATGTTTTTTTATTTATTCCTGCACTAGAAATGATCCAAAATGTTAAACACAGTGAGGTGGAAACCTGAAATATTGTCACAGAAATACTGGCATCATATTTGTCTTTCAGGAGCACCACAGGGGCTTTGCATACCTACAGAAAGGAATAACTGCACAAGTTGTCATTTGTTCTGTAAGAAATGTATTCTGTTAGTGGCTATTGTAGTGAGTCACGTGAGGTACGTGTCACTTGTTGTATGACAAATATATGGATATATATTTATGCATACTTTTCACGAGTTCTTCATTTTTCTGACTGTGTAATGCCGTGCATTGAATTTAACAGAAATGTAACGAGAGACGTTGTTTATCTTTGACCCATCAAATGAATGGAATCATTTATTTTCAGAATCAAAGTTTAACATCAAACATTTACATTAATTTGGCAAAATATGAAAATAATAACAGACAGTTTCACAGAAAATGAACTTCAA